CACCTATTCAGTATATGTACCGTAATCCATTTTACTGTGTGATATCTTCTACTGTACTAAACATCTACTTATAAAACACTTTCATTTATTTTTATAAATTTTATTCACTATTGCATCTGTCACATTATACAGTTACATTTGTTATACATTATTAAGAAACACGGAAACCAAAAAAAAAATCCACTTTTCTAATAAAATTAAAAAGAAAATTCTATATTTAATGAGATATTACATTTAACATTTAATGTCAAACTGAGTCTAATAAAATACAAATAATTTGGTCTCATTGTAATTTACCATATACAAAATTATAAATAATTTCAAATATATTATACACATTATTAAAAACAAATTAAATAGGAAAGTGTGAAGCACAAGTAATACGTTTTATTTAAAAAAAAAACATAAAAAATATATTGCATGTTATATTAATTATAACAATTTTTAGGGAAGCCAATCTTGTTCATAATGAATTGGATACAGTTATGTGTAAAATGGAAATTGCACGTTTAATAGCACCTAAAATAGCATATCAATGGTTTAGTAACTTACTCAGTTCAAATTGGTGGTCTAATTTTTGGTTACACGACGCACTTGCTACTAAGTTCGGAGAAGAAGCTGTTGCTAAGGTTTCTCTATTTATTAATATCACAATATGGAAGATATATCTGTGTTATGTATACCATTTTTATATTTGAAATTTAGATCCGACCGCGAAATCATATTTTTTTAAAGTCTATTTATTATCTGAAGTTTGCGAAAATATACTTTTAAATAGGAATAATAATAATATGTAAAAATTTTTGTAAAAAAACTCCTAGAAACGTTTTCAATTAAATGTTTAAAAAACTTCATAATATAGATCATATAATGTCACAATTGTGTGAAAATTTATTTTAATAAATGGATTCACGCGTTTTTCTAAACTGAATTATGATAATTTTAAAATGATTTTAATAATAAGGTACAAACATACACATATATTGTATGTAGTGTGCAGAATGACACGTTAGCTCAAAATACGGACATATCTGGTACCTTAACGTTTATGCATAATTATGTAACTTTATTTTTAGAGCTTCAATAATTCTGAAATTTTGGATCTCTTCATAATTCAGAATCAATACGAATCTCTTCATCTGGATTCTAGTTTTAATATGAATCCTGTAGAAATCACTAGCCTATCGGACATTAATACAATTTTTAGTTTTCCTCGTAACATGAAAGGTGAAAATAATTAAATATTCTTTTAGTAGAAATTCATACATACGTATATTATAAAGGAAAAGGAAGGAAAAGATTAGTTCGAAAAAATTCGATGTATTAATATGTTTCTTATTGTAGTAATAATTGTTTTACGGATGTTCCAAAGTGCTATTACCGATGAAGCGTTTCGAAATAATATCCAGATATATGTAAACAGACAGTGAGTAAAGAAAATATAACAATTAATTACATACCTGTGCTATATATTTGCGTGTGTGTGTTTTTGATAAATATATATAACAACTCTTATGGACTTACATTTTTTTAAATTTTCATAATATTTGCAATATTTTATAATACCTTCGTTTCGACTTCATACATACTTTTTTTCAATTTCATTTGTTCATGTCTTTTTTATTTTTTGACCTTTCATATATTAACATAATTTTACTTTCGAAAAATAAGCGTCTATATTTTTAAGTCCTTAAGTCAGTCTAGGCGATTTTCATCTCTAGTATGTGTGTGACATAAAATTGTGTTGTACAGTTTTATGTATATTTATGAGTTAAGTTACATCTCTCATTTTTATTTTCGATCCATTATGCTGATCATTAACAATAACTTTTTAAATTTAGGTCGTTCAGTTCAAATTTCATGTCTTATAATTTTTGGTCCACGAAAGAAGGATTAGATGTAGCATACGACTGTAATTTACCATCGTATATGTTCTTAACTTGGATACAGTACAAACATTATCCTGTTGTAATCATAGAACAAAACAGACATTCCGAAGTTGTAAAAATAATATCGCAAAATTATAACACAACGAGTTCCGGGGAGTGGCTGATACCCATAAATTTAAGGGACATAACATTAGGTTGTGTAGATTTGCAGACATGTTTAAAACCAAATCTTAGTTCTCTCCGGTATAATACAACTACTCCTGCAAATGAAGTTTGGATGGTGAACTTTCAACAAGCTGGTAAATACACATAATAAATTCTACACATTTTATGTAATTATGAAAATAGTAAAAAATACTTCTGTAAATATTTTCATATTAAGTCAGATATTCGATGTTCCGCTATAATAATGAAAATATGTATGATGAGTGTTCTCAATATGTGAAACGTAGGAAAGCATGTAGCCAAAAACACAATATGTGTATTATAGATGCATTAATTTTCAATATATTTCATCATACATGCATGTATGAAGTCTCTTTAATCTAAAAAAGGAGATAAAATGAAGAAAAGTATTTGTCTCAGTATCAATCTCGTAAAATTTATAATACAGTTCAATAAAATACTATTTTTTAAATGAATAGGATACTATCGAGCCAAATATGATTCAATAACCTTGGGCAACATTGCAAAATATTTAAATGACACAGCTGGAGATTATAATTCTATAAGTGTCATTAATCGTGCTAAAATAATTGATGATGCATTTCATTTGATGATGAATCATCAGCTCGATGTATCTGCATTTTGGAATCTCACGAAATTCTTATCGCAAGAGACAAATTTTCTTGTGTGGTATCCAATGATTAAAGTGTTTGAATATATGTCGATTACAATTCCACTTTCCAAAGAAGAAGTTAAGTTCACCGATATTATGGTAATATCCAATAGATGTTATATTTAACAAAGACTATTAATATATCAGAAAAAATTTCTAGTTGAAATCACGTGCATCAGAAGCTTTTGTTAAATTTATTAGAATTATAAATAAGATAATCGAAATTCTGGTTGGTACAGTATATCTGGTAAAATCTACACTAGAATTATTATTTTTACCAGTATAATTACATTATTCATAACAATTAAATGTATGAATTATATCAAATAGATTCCTAGTAAATTTAACTGGAAGATAATAATTTATCCATTTTCCTATTTTCGAAATCATTTCAAACAGATTATTACAGAAAGATAGTAGAAAGATGAATCTCTTTTTGAATTCATTACGATTAATTGTCAGTGCTATCTATAATACTGAGCATCATTACGATCAATGAAAATATAAAATTTGCGTCGTTTAGGATAAATTTAGAAAATTGTTGGAAAAGCCACTAAAGACACTAGGATATGAAGAAGATCTGATGGAAAATAACTTCACGACATGTTTAAGACAAGAAATTGTGAAATGGGCATGTACTCTCCAAGACGACGAGTGCGAACAATCAGCCCTTCGTAAATTACAGCAACATCTCGGAAATCCTGAAATAAACCCGTAATATTTTTCTATAAGTGCAATAGCTTCATAATTTCGTTTTTTGTATTTCGAATTATGACAAAATTTCGGTTCAAGCGTATAATAAACGATGTTTTCACATGTGTTATTTTAATCTTTCTTTTGAAACTGTAGCCTTTTGCCATGGTGGAGACACTGGACATATTGCAATGGTTTAGCAATAGCTTACTCATTTACGTGGTCACACCTAAAAGATGCATGGTTCAAAGAACGTAATCATACGTTGCTACCATTCTTAACTTGTTTTAAATATGGTTCCGATACTGCTTCTACATTATTTTTGGAGTTATTCAAACAATATGAACATCAAGATATTACGAATATTCGATCATATATAAACATTTTTCATTCATTTATTATGAAACATTCTAACACATATGACATACTCGAGAAGATACTTACATTTTTGGAAATAGTAAAACCTAAGTAAGTACATTTTTTTATAAATGGACACTTTATTTAATAATAATAATATATTATATAATAAAATTAAATTTATACGAATTGATTTTATATAGACAAATCAATATATTAACAGGACTAGTTGATATCATTAACCACGTATATTCTTACAAAAATCTTAAGAAGGTAAATGAATTATTATCAAATTCTCTACATTTATCAGTTTTCTTTTAGCCAGGCTTCATAAGTGTATTAATCTTAATTTCGGTGTTTTACTATTTATCTTTTTCTAATTCTTAGAATTACGAAAAAAGCAAAATGAACTGAGAATAAAGTTAATCTTTTATTAGTGTAACCGCTTTGAAAAATTATATTAATAACTACTTGATGTATGCAATATGGCATATATATCTCTGACTGCTTGCGCTGTATTTTTTCAATGTATACAAAACGATAATTTATTGCATGCATTTCCGTACGGAACAATAATAAATTATTCAAAAAATATAATTAAATTTTAAAATCTTTTTTTTTTTAGATTAAAAATTATATAAAAGAAGTTCATTATATAAATAAATCACAATTTTTGAGAATTGAAAGAAAGATATCAAGAAGATGGTTAGAAATTATAGCTCATATAGATCATTTTCGATTTATAAACGTTCTTTAATCTAATTTAAATAACTACGTAATATATTTAGATTTTCTTTTTTATTAGCTCGCTAGAGTGGAAAATAACGTAAGCTGATGCTACTGTTACTGAATATATAGTGTTAATTTTGAATATTTTCTTATATTAATTTTGCTTGTTTTTAGTCTTTACACAATTGTTATAATATTGTTTTCATTAAATTTTTACTTACGTCTGCATTTTTCGTATGTTTATTCTTGCTTCATTTGCGTATGAAATAAAAACGACGTTAAGTTTTTTTGTATAATATATGCGGTATTGGAAAATGGACTTAATAAAATTATATCGACGGTAACATGAAAAAGGCCGGCAAGGCCTAGCTCTTAGGTTTCTCTTTGACAATAGTGAGTCAACTATATTTATAATCGTCAATTAACTTAATAAAAAGTACATGAGTGATATAAAATTTTTTATATAATTTTTCAAAATTTTTATGTAAATCCTTTGAATTTTTAAATAATTTTATAACTTTTTAAAAAATTTCTTAGATTTTTTATACAAAGTGTACTTTTCAGGAATGCCGAGAAAGGCTTTCTCTTTTCTAAAATTCTTCATATAAATTCTAAAATATTGTAAGACTTCTAAAACTTCTCTATAATTTTTGATAAAATCTTATTAAAATCTAAAAAAGTTCAAACTGTTTTTTCAGAAATTATAGAATATAGGCTTAGAAATATTAGAATATTTTAGAATTCATATATATGAAAAAATCTAAGAAATGTAGATTTTATTAATATTCTGAAAAGATTCAATTGGTATAAAAATTCTGAGAAAATGTTTCACGAGGGATGATATTAATTAAAAATTAATAATTTTTGTACGTAGCATTAGACAGCTGAGAAACATTGTAAAAACTACGATTCCATTCATATATAATAATTCATATATAATAATGTTTAACATTGTTAATATATATTATTTTTTTAATATCTGATAAATGATACATTTTTTAAAATAATATTTAAAAAATATGTATTGGTAAGAGAGGTAAGACAAACTAAAGTATAAATAATCTGATCTTGAAAATTTGCAATACACAAGTTTCTTAAAAAAATTAATTAGAGCTTGAAATATAAGTCTTATAAACGAGATTATCATCAACAATTTATTACTAATAACATTTATTAATAACATCGTGTTTGTTACTTTAATGACATTTAACGATGTTAATTAAATAGCAACTATACAAGGAAAACGGTGTATTTTTAAGATTTATATAGGAGATTTCTCGAAATCATTTACGTAGAATTGATTGCCCTTCGTTTTGTATAAAACATTTAAGTCCTTGGTGTCAGGGTACATTTTCATTCTGGACATTGAGATTTTCCATCCACCGTTTCTCGTCCAGTCCTGAAAGAACCAAATAATACATATATATATGACATGTCTACTAAGTAACATTACAGTTAGTATGTTGAAATATATTCTTGTTATAGTTACCATTCTGTTGTATTTCATATAATAATAGATACCATAAAATACAACGATAGACATTGCCACTTTGCTTATAAAGTGCCGTGTTACATTCGCCGAAAACTTACCCTGTAAAGAAGCAGAACCTGTTAATTTTTTTCACTATTGCATACATTTTATCTTTATTGAATACATTTTAATAGTTTATTTACTTGTTATTACTTTTATTGTTATAAATTAAAATTTTTTTAAATAATAACAAAATCTAAATGTTTTTTTAATAAATACTCTAAGTATTTGAAACGACTTATGCAAAGTTTCATTGCGATTCATAAATTAGTTACAAAAATTTAGAACAAATAAATATTTTATTTATTTACATGATAACTAATTTTTGCATCAGAATGTAACTTTACATAAACCACCTTGAATACTTAAAATACTTATATCTTAAAAATTGAGATTTGTTATTTTATAATACATTTCTATATATTTCTATCAAAGCACAGATAAAAAAAATACTAGTTATTAAAATAATTTTTAATCCAAATGGTAACTGGTTGCTAAATTTTTTATATTACTTTTAAATGCAATCTAGATTAATCTGTAAATTCTTTTCAAAATTGTTTTACTATTACGAAATGCATATATCTTTAATATGGATGATTATAGATTTACAGTGTGAATCTGATCGACTCTGCTGCCAGTCTGCCAGTAAACTGCTAGCATTTTGCTATCTGGGTCATAGATAATTATTATGTGCATTATATTATTGAATGGACAATAATGTTTGTGTAATGTTTGCATTTAACGGATTATCAACTAAATCTTTTTTGTTATTACTATAACTGGTGCCAAAATATTCTCGAATTTGTTCATAGGTGCCATGTAGAATCTTCTGATTGGATTGTACATCGCTTCATAGTAACCCTTGGGATACACTGGCTCCTCAGGCGCGAGTTTCTGAGCATCCAACCATTTTTTCCTCCATGCCCGTTCCTCGTCTGTCATTCCCAGCGTCCGCTCTCTTTCATGCTCCATACGACGCACTATAGACATAGGTCTATCCCCCCTCGTAGCTGAATTGTCTGGGACATCTGGTACTCTAAGAAGTAAATTGTAACAAATTACGGTAAATTGCAATGATAATTATTTAAAGCTATTTTGTTAACTATAAACAATTAAAGAAAAACATCTCATATCATTTCTTTTTTGTTATGACTGATGTCTATGAGAATTCAGTCACTGACTAAACTCTATGTGACATTGATCTCATGATTTTGTGGAAAGTAAAAGAATTCATGCAAATAAATGAAATAGAATCCTGCTTTTCAAGATAAATTCTTTCGTGACAGCTGAAAATTTGAAGTTTAATGTCACAAGTTCCTGCTGCATGAAAATTGATGCATATCAACATTTAAGTTCTTGCTCATTCTTGACTTATAATTTGTATATTGCAGGATACAGGATTTGATAAATATAATAAAAAAATATCCTACCGCGACATGATTCTCTTGACGTGTGCTCCAAAATCTTATAAACACCAATTATCCAAACCTGTCCAAACTGACAGTGAGGTTAGCTTTAGTTCTGCTTAGATGTGTTGTGTTACATCACACGGATCACACGTATGTATAAGAGGTGGCAGGAAGTTCCATTTTACGCCATCTAGGATGACGAAGTTGGTCTTTTTAAATGGACAAAAATGTAATGAAACAAATAATACATATACATTATACATAAAAATATTTAGAGTGATCAAACTTTGCGATTAACTTATTAAGTACAAAAAATACCTAATGTTATTTCAATAATGAATGGAATTATTAATTTTTTGTTATTATCTAATTTTTTTGTTATTATCTAGAAAGATTAGAGACAATGAATTATATGATAATATTATAAAATATTTAATTAAGAGTTAAACGAATTATATATATGATATCATATATTTTTCCTTAAAAAAAGAGAATATCAAGACAATAATCATATAAAAAATGTGATAATCGAGGGAAAAAATGTTTCATTATATAAAACATATATATAATTATATGAAAAATTGACATATTTATTATATGTAATTGTATATAAAATATGTATATATTTTATAATATATATGTATATATTCTATAATTATATATAATTGTATATAAAATATGTCTGTTTATACAACATTTTTTCCCGGGATGTTAGAGGGAATATAATAATAAAAAAGTAGACTTCATGATTCAGGAAATGACGATGATATAAATCGATACGTTTAGTCATAGGTATATCATTTATTTATTTATTTATTTAATCGACTCTCTCGCAGTATATTTGTTCATTCATATACTTTATCTTTCGAAAATCAATTACAAGTGTCATCATCTATTATCTAGAGGGTATAGGTAGGTAAGTTACAGGCGTTTTTCACAGTATTGACTCTATATACTATCCAGATGTGACTAAAATCTGTATCTACAAATATATTATCTCGTATCTCGTATGTGTGTACAGGGTGTCTCGCAACCGTACTTTACTTCCTCCTAACGACAGTTACGAGCGGCGCGTTTCGCGATGCCGTATTTTAAGTGACTAATTAAAAGTAAACTAAGCGCGCACGCGGTACAATAATACGTCGAGCTCGTACGGGATAACGTACATCAGTTTTTATTCGTCGCACGCAAATTAAGTAATATACAATTGTATCATCGATACGCAGTAAATCCATTTGATTCTTCCGAAATTGTATATCATTGTCGGCAAAGTTGCCTCCCGTTCTTCCCACAAACACATTTCTTTAATTTCCATTGCAGTACATATAATATATCTATTGTCAAGAGCAAGCAGACACCTTGTATACATATAGTATACATATATATTTATAATATATATATATAATGTGGGTCAAAAGAGGCGGGATCTATGATAGATATATGTCAACGAACTTGGGATTAAATTTTCCTTAACGAATACGTCAATCGTATAAGAGTACATGGATATTTAAAGTCGAGAGTACTAAGTACGTTCGATATTAAAGATGCAAGTGACAAAGTCTTACTTGTTTTAATACGCAAATCTATAAATAATAAAGTACTTAAATAAGATACTTAAGTCAAAATACTTAACGTGAAAAGATGTTAAGGAAAGAATTGCCTCAAATTCGAGGACACGTCCCTCTCATCGACTCCCTTTTTTCGCCTCAGATCCGCTCTGTATGTATATTTAATAACATCTTTATTTCTCTATATATATCAATATTTCATTTTTCTTTTCTCTTTCCCATGTGGGAGTCAATAAATATATTTCTTTATTCGAGTCCCCAAGGGTAGAAAGAAATCGTCGCAGTTTTTGGAGTGAGAGAATTAAGTCGTGTGTATTCTCCCGTCAGGGGAGCTTTGGTAAAAGGATTCCTTCTTTCTCTTTTTCTTTCTTTTTTGAATTGATTATACGATATACATTAAAAGTAGATTTATACTTGATTTGACACATATGATTGAGGTTTCGAGCAAGTTTGTCCGCTGCTTAGCTCGCATCTCACAGCCTAGAGGTGATTTAAATCCAGGGCGCGGCCCCATTTTAAATGGGACGCGCCGCAAAACGCCGCACTATACCCCGACAAATGCCAAGCCCGCAGGTATTACGATTATTAAGTCCTTAACAGCAGAGTGCACTTCCGCCGCCCGCGATTCACGTCCGAAGACGCGCACGAAAATATTTCTCAAAAGAACTTTTACCGAGAATAGCGTCTCGGAAATATTTATACTATTCCTCGAAGAGGATATTCTTCAGAAAGTACTCTGGGAATACTTCAGGGATATACTCTGCAAAGACGAGAATATCTCGCAATCGATTTTGGACTCAATCGGCAGACGATGTTTTAAAAATATATATTTTTAATATTTATATTTTTATAAATGAGTTTAAAATAAATATTTAAAATATTTTTTTAAAACATTGTCTGCTGATTTGTGGAGTCTTCGATCATCGAATAATTTTGCATATTCTTTGGAAGGAAGAATATTCTCGCGCTTTGTATCATTCTCTTACAGAAATTTAATACTGGAAGATAAGTGATTAATTACTTATTTTGTTGCTTAGTACTTTTAATAATCAAAATAAGTAACTTCCAGTATTAAATTAGTCAGTATTAATCCTCAATTACAGCTACAAAAATTACACCTAAGTTTTAAAGCGTTCTGATTGAAATATAGATTACAAGTAAACCTTCGCCTTCCATGAGGAAGATTCAAAATTTTTTATTTACAATTTAGAATCTCATAATCATACAAATTGTACCACCGTCTAAAATTTTTCGCTTTGATTCCAAGTGACTCGTTGCTGTAGTCGAAAGTTAAACTGGATTTCTGTAAGGGTTCGAAATATACTGCAGAAACAGAACAAATTTCCAACAGCATTTAGATATTCTCCATTGATCAACGAGTAAGACGAAGCAGTTGCATTCGCGGTTTGATTCTCGCTTTTACTCGCCATCTGAAATAACTATCTTATCTTCTATTTTGCAGCAATGGGAACTCCTTTATAGCCAAAGTATTGTGCGCATATTTTTTATCTATTCACAATGGGTCGCATACGTGTCTCACTGTGTTTTCTGTCACAGTTCGCTTATTCAGTCTTTTGCGATCTATCTTCTACGAGATGCAATTACAAAGAGTTACTCTTGGTATTAACGGAGGTGGAGAACGCGTTCCAAGTGTCATTCTGTTTCCGCAAAGCGAACGTTAATCACGGACGCCGGGTGCATCTTTTGCTGCCGATAACACGCACTATCAGCCGAATAGAATGAACGCGGTGTAAGTCGGTGTAAGTCGTCTTTATATTCTATCGAATTTCACTATTAAACTAAGGAGAGCGGAGGATCGCGGTACGGCCAGACCGCCGATTCGGAATTATTCTCTAATTCTTGCCTCGCACCATTTTCATTCTTACCGGCCAAATATATATGTATTCTATATATATATATATTACACGTACGCATTGTGTGCCATGTGGTCATTGTGCATTTAAAGTAAATACGACATAGTAAAATATTAAAGCGGCAGCAGAACACTGCAATACTGTTCGATCTGTGTAAAGGATCCTCTCACTTCCTCTTCTTTACTTTTCTGCTCTTTTTCCCCTCCTTCATTATATTCCTCTTTAAATCCTTTACAATAAACACACGATCGTTTTACTTTTTTCCGTTTTTTTTTCTTTTACTTATATATTTATATACAACGTGTGTAGAGGGCTTTATCCGGCAACAGTTCGACTCGAGTATATTCGCGATAAACTTTCTCATAATGTCAACATGTCTCGTATAAACTATGCAGTGCCAATACCTATCGAATAAGATAAGTACACATAAAATATATGCAATTGATAAGTAACGTAATAAAATTATAAAGTACATGTCGTAAACATTGTGGACGAGAGAAAGATACATACATATATATATATATATTTATAGGGAGAGAAGAAGATAATGTATATGTATATATATGGTTCCTATACATTTAAAGTCCCTATGAATCCAGCTCTGTTTCAGATACTCGTTCGTCGTGATGCAATCGGTAAAGATATATATTGCTTGCATGTATCCGTCGAATTGGCGTCAAGATGAGAATTTCGATACACTTTCGATGATCGTTTTCGTGAAGTGATCAAATCTTGAAATATTCTCCATTGATACGACGCCTCCTTTTTTCTTTCTTCTCGCTTTAGAGCATTCGACGTAATTTAAATTCACGTCGGAGTTACGAAGGCAAAAGAAAAACAATTTAAATGCGTGGGGTATATTAGGAATCTCTTCTCCCCCGTTAATTTAAATATTCTTCTTTGTCTACTTGTCACTAGCGGGTTAGCGATGTCGATTCGCGCACACCCGTTTTTTTAATAATACACTTTCATGTGGTCATCATAATCAACGTTTTCACGTCTTCTTTTTCGCTAACTACGGGTATTGTAGGACAGTGCATGTACTTTACAATGAACAATGTGAATGTACATATATATGTATATATACAATATACAAGAATGCATCCGAAACTATCGCGCTTTTATTTCTTCGCAAGTGGCGTTAAATTTCCTTCACAATCAGTGAAAATTCAAGTGAAATTCCATTTATTGTATATTACAATATTTTAATTTTTAATAGCGAGTGTGTTTTATATTTGTAATTAAATATTTAATAAAATAAAAAAATTAATTAGAAAATCGAATTATTTCGAGAGTTATCAATTTCATGATATGAAACACTCATTTTAAAATCAGATCGAAAAGACTCGATAGTTTCGTTACATTTTATACAGTCAAAATGACTGTTTTCGTCACCTTAATCGTTTCGCTAGTTGCAAAAACTTTTGCAGAAATTTGACAAATCGTGCTGCGCAATCCCGCGTAATTTTTAGCACAATTTAACTTATTCATGGACACTGATTAAGTAGTATTAAGTATCGATAAATATTACATTGAACGCTAGTCGCAAAGAGTTATCTCTTTCTCAGTTCCTTCGTCGAAATTTTTTTTCGTCAAAGAAAGTCCAAAGAATCATTCGGCGCTAAATAGGATTTAACGTCGTTTTGATAGTCAGAAAATTAATATAAAATTTTAAGATTATTTTAAGAATAAAAGTGATTCAAATAAAATTATTCAATTTTATGTCAATGGTAAAAAGCAATTAGCGCCAGATCGATAATCTAAAAATTAAACTCAATTCTCTTTAGTTTAAATAGCTTTAGAGACGAGAATGACTTGTATTAGATTAATCTTGCTGTCCTCTCTCTTAACATCGGTAAAGAATTTAATGTATTCTCATTAGATAATTTAATAAAAATTACATCTCGTCAAGACGTAATTTAATAAAAACGCGTAGATCTTTGGTGACGTCGAAGAAACTGAGAAAGGCGACTACCCGACGTAACCATTTCGTGCGCTCGTTGATCAATTAAGTATTATTAGAGAAGGCCTATCTAAATGAAGCGCGGCCGGAAACGGGGCTACGCGCAAAACGTGACATGCACACGACATTTAATGCAATTAGAATTATTTTACGTACGCTAGCGCTATATATATATTTTTTTCGATGAGATTCGGTAAGATCGCCGCGTATTTTTGGTATTGAGTCTTTCGGGTTGCACTCCTCGTGTCACGATTCAATTTCACTTGGTGTTATCGATTAAGTGGTAGTGGCATCTTGGACCAGTAGGCCTTAAAGACGATACAAACGCGCGCGAATATGTGTACGAATATGTGTCTGTACGTCCTGCATGTGTGTATGTACGTAAAGATTTTCGCGCGAGACTGGAAAAAAGAGCGGGGTCCCAATCCCCGAAGGTAATGCAATAATACTCGCGACATACTCGTCGTTTTCTATTATCAAATACACATATATATTATATAACCATAATAAAAGTCGGCACTATCCTAGGCTACTCTAGATTCACCTATAACAAGCAATAAAATTATATACGTACCTACTCTTATTCTTTCCCTATTAACGACAATGCATGTAGAAAAATGAGCCTCTCGCGTCTTTGGTTAAACGCGAAGCATTTAGAAAGTAGTCTGGCAGTGGTTTCGTAGATGCTTCGACCTTAGCCTCGGACCAAATTTTGATTTTTCCCCCCCTGTTTCTTTGCCATTTTCTTACTTTTATTTTCTTCTTCGTTTTAGACGTGGTTTTTAGTAGTTGCGAAAATTGAATCGAAGTGACGTTTTACTCGGGACTTGGGTCTCATTGAGCTACAGTTTTTTTTTTGTACCGGCAATTTTTTTGAGAGATGCACAGTGTGCTCTGTCCAGCGAGTTCGGCCGAGCTCGACAGGTTGTTGAATTCGAATTTGAGCAGCTTTCGCTACCGTATGCGACCCTCTTCTAACGCGTACATACCTGACACATAAACTCGCACGTTCTACGCTCAAAAATTCATTCGAAGAAAAACCTATCCTTTGGCATCATCGCGTTTGGCTTCATCATCGGATGACGAATGGTCGTCGCGGTCCACATAATAAGTCAGCTTCAGTAAAACTTTCTTTTCCATATCCGATATGAACGATCGTCGTCATCGTCGTCATCCTCTTCTCCTTAACGACTTTCAGAGTGCGCGGCGCAAGTGACTGCCGCAGACAATGGCACAAGAGTAGTATGTTCCTTAAGGTAGTGTCGTTTAGGTCACTGAGAAGTAAACTAGAGCTCTGCTTCCGCAAGGCAACGGCATCAATTCCCGTCGTTTTAGTTCACGAGTAGATGGTAATCACCTCCCGTCCGCTACCCCGCACCATCAGTACCCTTTCTAAGCCTTCGGTGAGCACCTCGAGGAATTCCATATCTGATTTTAAGCAGTCAAGAAAGTTTAATGATCTTTTCTATTTTTTATTATATTTTTCTATAAATTAACTATAAGTTTTTTTTTACTCTAAAATTTATCTCTTATTTATTAGACTATAGCCAATAACACAGGCCTGTGATAAAAAAATTTCTTTAATGATTTTAGCTGTTTTTAATTTATAATGAAAACGAAAAATCATATCGAAACGAAACAAAATGCATTTTTAAGCTAAAAGTTGATACTTTCGTGTGACATTAACGAAATTTAGAAAAACTTTGTTGTCGTACTACAACGTGAAATCCCATACAATTATCATTTTTAACTTCTTTGACATTATTTTTCTTGAAATTGTGACGTGATAGCCAATTGGACAATAAATTCATATTCAGCACGCCAAAATATATTAAAAAACTATCTACAATTCTTAAAAAAGTTTTTTTCTTTATAACAAATGATAATTTTTTAAAATTATATATATTTTTTATCGAAAGGATACAATTAGATTCACGCTCCATCCTCGTGTCTCGCGGCGGTCCGGGAAGATTCAGGATTACCAGTTGAGCCTCACTGCTCATTTTACGGATTACTTCGTTCAGCTTCAACGAAGTATGCATACGTCTCACGTCACCCTCGTCGCTGTTACAGAATTATTTGTTAAAAAACAAATCGTTGCTGAAGTCAAGAAAAAATAATCACGATACTTACGGTGTAATTGTGGGTTTCTTAATCTCCGGACTTTGGTTTTTGTTTTCCTGCGCGTCGTTTTCTGTCTCTTTCGCCTCCGCCTCCTTCGCTTCCTTCTCCGTATTCTCTTTATTCTCTGCTTTGGGCGAGCCGCCAATCAGCTGTGTCTCTTCGTTATTCTCTTTAGCTTCGTCTTTATCGTTTGCCTCCTCTTCAGCGTCCTCCTTGTTATTTAATTCGGTTTCCTGCATCAGCTTCGTGTCGTCGGTTATGTTTGTACTCTGGTTACCCGGCTCTTGGAATCTCACTTTCGTTGGCACTTTGGCATCCACGTTGTGATGATGATCTACGATCGCCTGTACCTGTATCATGGTAATGCGATTAAGCGAATAAAAAAGTACTTTATCCTGTGGTAGGAGACAGTCAGTTGAGAGGTGACTAATCTAGCGTCAAAGCACTATGGCCATAAAATCAATACTATATCTATGTAAGCGATCGTGCCAATTAAGCTGAAACTGAGAAACGCGGGGAGTTCCTGAGATCATCATGGATAGGAAGAAACAACCTAGCGTGATCGCTAAATAAAATAATATAATATCCAAGAAGTGTCTCCAAGAATCGTCTCCGAGATTAGTATTGAATTTCGAAAGTTAAAAGTTTAAATTTGAAAAGCAGAAGTTTCAAGCACTTACTTTTACACTGTGTCTACTATTTTATTTTAGAAATCAACTTTTTGCGAACTTCCTATATTCTATAATATAATGTTTTTAATTTAAAGTTTTACAATTAAAAAAAAGGCATTTAATTTATTACACTTATAAAATATTAACTTGCGATCCGCAGTCGTTTCTCCCATTTTGATATTAATCAAATGGGAAATAGGAATGAGAGTGTTACGTGATATTATGAGGGAGGAATTTACAATATAAAATTATCGGTGCAATGGAGAGCAATGACGGGAAAGAGGCATACATGGAACTCCGGGGGTAATCTGACAAACCAGAGGTAATTTTTCCTCGGCGGGTACCTCGTTGAAGTCCACCAATCCCTGCACCTTTATCCGTGAGGAGCACGTAACAAACAGACACACACCGATCAGTATCACCGTCACCATTTGTTGTTACTTAACATTATATGCCTGTACATATTAGTATAATAAATTTTCCCCCTTTATCCAGAATTCAACACTTACCACTCCTAATGACTGCTTCTTGTTTAGTTGCAACTCGCGTAGCATCTGATTTCTTTGCTCCATAATCAAAGTGCGTTCGTATGTGTACGCGGAGATGTCGGTGTTCGTCTGCAAACAGATCAAGACGCGGAATATGAATTTACAGAAGTAATCGCGATATTTTATTATTATTAAACATTTTAAATCCATTAAAAAAAATAAAACTTTCTAAGGAATTCAATCTTTCCTTTTATTAAGAATAATGTATAATGAGATTACCATTTCGACAATCTCGACTTCCGCCTCGATTCTCAGGTCGTACAAGAACTTCTTTAAATCTTTCTTCATCTGTATTGAGTTGTCCTCCATTTGCGCGACCGTAAAAATCCTCATCTTACAGTTCTTCCAGGTACGATGTTGCTTCAGTAAGAACGGCAGTAGCATTAATAGGCCGCCATCGTGCACAATCCACCAGACGTCAATGTTGCCGATTATCTTCTCGCTAGAGTCCGGGAAAAAGTTTATTCCTTTGGGCACTAGCAATGCCATCTTCGCGGCTGCGACGCTCCTTACGGTCTGCAGGAAGACTCGCCAGGTTCTATCCTCTTCCGACTGTCGCCAACCATAAGGCCAACCCAATATCACTGTATTCGGTTTTAGTCCGCCAAGCCCAGTGTTTTGTATTAATGAGCTCAGCCCTTCGACAACATTTTTCGCAACAAGAACATCGACGAAGCCCTTCACTTTTTCTTCCGCCGCAGTTTTCTTCAGGCTCTGCTTGGCCGCTAGTGCTTCACCCGAGTTCTGTGTATAGTCACCGGCGATACAGCTGACGCTAATGGTGAGACCCTTGCCAGCCTTAAGCTGACTAGCGAATGCGAAGAGCTTGCGATATTTAGGCACCAAATCATCTGTAAGTTTGGCGAGGATCAGGATCTGTGGACGCCAGTTCTTCGTGTGTGGTGGACCCTCTTCGAGCCTGAGCAGCGAGTACCTGGCAGCGGATAACGCCAAACCGCGAATACCGTCACCCCATTCCTTCTCGGCACCGCGATATTCTATATACTTGTAGATGCAGCCGGCCATACCCATCGCTAGTAATGCGTAATACCAGCTAGTCATGAACATGATAGCGATGCAAAGCGACAGGCCAAGGAACGACAGGCTCCAATGATAATATTTGAAGCGTGGCCGCCAATTTGGCGTACGCAGCAGAGTCTGCAGTGCACAGGCAAGATTGACAAAGCCGTAGCACATGAGGAAGAACATGGATAACAATGGTGCCAGGTAGTCCACATTGCCAAGTAGGATACCGCACTGGCAAATTCCTACAGTGAGTATCAAAGCACGAGTAGGTTCGCCTCGACTGGAACTGGTAGCGAATGGCTTCAGGAAGGGAATGATGCCATCCTTGGCGATTGCCTGTAGTAATCGCGGTGCTCCTGTCAAAGATTGCAGACCGGCACCCAAGGTGGACAGAAACGAACCGATCAGGATTACCCACTGATTCGGCCACGCCATATTTGCCACCACCAACTTGCCGCCGATACTCTGACCGAACTTGTCACGTAGCAGCAGATTGTCAACAGTCCCGGCAAATAGAAGGACGCTGGACAGATAGACGGTGGAGGTCGTTAAGATCGCGCAGATCGTTCCGATCGGAATGGATTTTTGAGCGTCAGCTAGATCACCGGATCGGTTAGAGCCCGCCATAATACCTGAATATTAATGTTGTTAATATTACAATAAAGATTTCAATTAAAATATTGCTTAAATAAATTAATTGTTAATTAAGAATTTCTTATTGAATTACTTAATTCTCCGTAGCTGACGATGAGTCTATTGGACTCATTCAATTATAAATCTCTTTATAAAAAATGTCAGATAACTTAATTTTCTTTATGTTATATCTATGCAAATTTGGATTATTCTTTTAATTATTATATTTAATATTCATTCTTTCTTATACGAGTTATATTATTTCAGTTCCTTGAAATTAATTAGTACCTTTTCATTAGCATAAATTAAATTAAATAAGACTTACAGACCAAGCGTCAGTAACTATGTTACAGATTTTAGCTCCGGAGGTTTAATTAGGACTTATCGTAAGGACGACATGAACATAACAGTGTTGTTAATTTGCTTACCCGTCACGGAAGGGAAAAATATGCCGATGAGAATAGTAAAGGTCGTGGTGAGATCGACCTGGATCTGGTTGTAGCTGGATCCCGACAGGACATCGACGTCCTTTGGATTATATCCGTGAGCGATTAATTGACCCTGCTCTTGGAAACTGTCCCATATGTTCTCTGTGTAGCAGAAAATAGAGAGTGTATTTGAGTATACTTTTGTTTTATAGTGTATTTTATATAAGTTTTATTATTGTTACGTTCATTGACGTTATTTCTTTGCAATTATGTAATTTAATTATACAATCTCTCACCTAGGAACACGCCGCTCGCCAAGCCGCGGATACCGTTGGCGATGGTAATATTGTTCTCGGCATAATACGAATCGCATTTCGTGCCATTACAGTAAATATTGTGCAAAACACCGTTGAAATTTTTATTGCAATCTGTTAAAACGTTGATGTCCTTTAATAGCCTTCTGCCGAGCAGACATAATCTAAAACACAAAGTCTCTTCTTTAAAGCGCTCGTCCTTCAGTTTTTGTCTATTTTTCGCGATAATTGTAATCACTTATCATTGCAACATTATAATCGCAACGATATTCAGACAGTAATGACTACATAATGCGAAAATTAGTGTCGTAAATTAGTTTAGTACTTCAGAGACTCGTTGCCGTTAAAGTTTACGAAGAGTCCCACGTAAACAGCGAGGATGGATAAAATGACGCAGGCCAGTGCGACGGTGGCGAACTTGTTAACGAACTTCACACCCACGAAGACAATCGTGCCCATTATCATCAGTAAGACGGAGCCGTATACACGAAAGTTGTTGTACATAATGCTGGCGTCTTTCGTGAAGTCGCCGAATATGCTGAGTGACGGCGCCATGTAAGTCTGAGCGAAAATTTCATAAAATCAAGAAAAGCACGTTCCTTTTGATTCCTTTAAACCATAATAAAGTTTTATGTCAGACTACAGTTAACTATACGCAATTCGTGGTGATTTGCTTACTTTGATTGAAAAGAGCCACCCTGCTGGCGAATTGACGCGAATGGTAAACGATAAACGTGTCCATTATACAGTAAAAAATACTTTGTATTTATGTCAAAATCGATCCTTGTAAAAATTTTTTATTGAATTTTTAATATATTCAGGTGTTAATTTAACACAACGTAATTATGTTATTTGAATATTTTGTGTTAAGTTGACATTTCTTAATATTAAAATAATACAATTTATAATTAAATGGATAATTAATATAAAAATAATGTATTTTAATATATGTGCAAATCCTAAGATAAATAAATGAATTATGTTAATTATAAATGTTATTATAAATGTGAAGAAATATACTTCCACAATTTGTTACATTGTTTGTGTTAATATTTGTGTTACTTCCTGACATATTCATCTTGTGTTAAATTAACACAAAAATTTCGGATTAAGTCACATATATATATATATATAAAATGTTTTAAGTCACATATATATATATATATATAAAATGTTAAATTTAAGATAAACTTTTCAACTGTGTACAGTGAAAAATATTTCTTTGTTATTTTTTTTTTACATAATATTTATGTAATTATTTCCTAACATATCCATCTTATGTTAAATAAACGCAAAAGTCGAGTGGATAATTTGGGACACGTGTGTTAAATTTAGCACAAATTTTCCAACTATACCTATTATTTGCAAACTTCATATGAATAACTTCAAATTTCAAACTATCTTGAATCGCGCATAGTCTGGCGCAAGCTTTATGGAATCATATCGTAATCTTCACATACAGTTAACAATCTTTACATATCAGATACTTTGGAAACATAAAATTAATCAAAACGTAATAATTGATCATTCTCAATTAATCTTAAAGTAACGACTATGAAACTCCGCGATACTTTCACTCCTATTTCGAAGTATAAGTCAATTATCGCGATCAACTGATTAGCGGGAGGCCTTATTAATGTAACTTCGTTAACTAGTCGATACTCACGAGGACGATCTCGACGGCACCGATGATGTACATCGCGGCGGCCAAGGTGGTGCCAGTATAAAATAACATACCCACCGCGCCGCCGAATTCCGGGCCTAAGCTCCTCGAGATCATGAAGTAGGAACCACCGGCCGGCACCACACCATTAGTAGCGATGGCACTCATACTGATCGCCGTCAGCATCGTCTGCGCACACGAAGAATAACTGTTTGCAATCGGTTTACATTTTCCAAAGTTCAATTCGCGAGAAACTATCCGTTTTCGGTCTCACTAAGATTCTCAAGTACTGATACCTCGATATCTTGATCAAAGAAAATCGATTTTTTAGATTAATTAGAAAATCTGCCAGTAATACTTAATTCTCTTTATTGTTTCTTCTCTCTTTCACTTTTCTAGATTTCATATAAAAAAAAAATGGTCAATAAAAAGCCAAATAAAGTTGGAAAAATAAAAACTATATTTGAGTAGCTGAAATACATGATGCAAGTGGTTGAAATGCAAATGCCGCTATATCCAAAAATAAAAAAATGAAATATTAAAATCCTTGGACTTCTTAGTACCTTGGCCACAAATTGAATATTTAAAACTACCCAGATAGCCAAATCTGTAGACAGCAGATTTTTTAAATGTTTGCTACACACTATGCCAACAAAATGACAACAGAATTAGATGTACATAATACTGTTGATAGACTGCTAGAAAAAACGTAACAGAATCTGCAAGCGTCAGATACTGTCGACAGGATCTGCTCAGTTTCTGCCACCAATTTGCCTTCACATTGTGTCGATAGGCGATGTTAACAGAACACAAGCCTAATGCGGACGCAATTGATGGCAGACTGCCGTCATTTTCTGCTCGAACCTGTTGATAGTCTGCTAGAAGACTGCAGACATTTGGCTATCTGGGTATATAAAAACAATTACAAATTCTATATATGAAATGAAGAGAGAAAAGTAGGTAATAATATAAAATTTAAAACTGAATTGAGCTCTCGAGATATTTAATAATAATAATAAATAAATTGACAGGCGATTGAGAGCTAGAAATAGGCGCAGTTATTAAATGCGTATAAATAAAGTATATTCTAAAAAACGTTGTGAATAAGATTAACTGTAAGAACTGCAACGCCTCATATGTAGGACAGACGGGGAAAAAATTAAAAACAAGAATAGCAGAGCACCGCAATAATATTAATAGAAAAACTGATAACCCGCGTCGTCATCACCGAACACAGGTTGAAATTCGAACACGAATTTGAATGGGAGAACACTGAGATCTTAGACAACGAAAGATACTACAGTAAAAGACTCGTTTCTAAGATGCTTCATATTAAATCTCAAGCTAACAGTTTAAATTCAAAATCGGAAATTTTTACACCGTGCATATACGAACATCCTTGACAAAATTACAAATTAATTCAATTACATTCAATTTCGTGTTTTGATTTTCCACATAGAAATATAATTAAAGATATTTATTGACTTAATTTAAGTATATTTAATATTATTTTGACTATCTACATGAAAATTTTAATCTATGACATTCAGTGACTCTACTAAAAGCAGTGTATATATTTCTTGACACATCTCTCATCTTTAGTGTTTATGTTTTAAAGATCATTTCAATTTTATACTCTTCGCGTAACAGTTCTCTCTATCTATTTCTCCCCTTGCGCTATGTGTAATCAAAGTTTGCAGCTGGTAAGTCTCTTTAACTAATCATAATTATCATTTATTTCTTATCATTACTTAATAAAGTTATATTGAAATCACCAGTCTCTTTAACTAATCATAATTATCATTTATTTCTTATCATTACTTAATAAAGTTATATTGAAATCGCCAGTTCTCACTTGACTAGTCAGTTAATTGGCAATGTTACTTCTCAAAATTTGGAATTGAAGAGGCTCTTCCGGCTGCTCGCTTGGATCGTTGAGATGCGAATAATGCTCACATCCATTGTTCAACATCGCTGATGATGACTCGAATGAAGCCGAAACGTTCGATATTGATTTGTGCGAAATTTCTTGCGAAATTAATGTGAGATCTTTTTTAGAATATACTTTTGTTATTTATACGCATGTAATAACTGCGCCTACTTCTAGCTCTCAATCGCCCATCAATTTATTGTTTATTATTATTATTAAAAGTAGGTAAAGTTGCAAAAAAAGTTAATCCCTATTTTGATACTATGACTAATCTATTAGATTTACTAATTTTTTTTAGTTTGATTTATTATTTTTTTATAAAATTTGTTTTATCAATATTTTCTTTGTGTTCAATATTTTATTTAAATATTTGTTGTAAATATAAAAGAGGAAACAATATTGTATTTTTTCAATAAATAACTAAATGTGATTTATAATATGTACCGTGAAAAAAAAGTTACAATATTCGCAAGCAAATGTGACATTTTTTTCGATATTTATTGGTTATAAAAACATTTGATAGTGATGGAGAAATATGGATTTCTGTGAAATATATCTCATTAATTGTAAAAAAATAAAATAAATGGTTTATTTGTTAGAAATAAAATTTTATTTCGCTGTATTTAAATAAAGATTTATTTCAATGAAATAAAGATTATATCTCACAAATAAATTTGTAAACATCTTTTTTCAATGTAGTATGTAACTTTTGTTATTAATAGGATAATAAAAATGCTTTAAAAAATCACAAAAATTCTAAATTTAATTCAGTAACTTACTCTAATTGTAAGATTTAATTGTTTTAGCATCAATACTTCAGTTTCAAAATTAGCTAAATCCTTTCTTCAGCTACAAAAACAGTCAAATGCATTGTATTTTAATAGAAATTATGTTTTTTATGCCATATTGTACATATTTTATTAATTAAAATAATAATTTTTTTTTAATTTCAAAGAAAGATTTTATTGATAGTTCAAATGAAAAATTATACAAGCTCTCGCCAAAAAACATGTCAAATGGAGATAACTATTTTTGCAAATGAGCTATTCATTTATTCTCAAAACAGATGATTAAGAAATGAATAAAAATGAGATTAAGGAATGATCTTGTACGTGCAAATTGTAATTGTCCTAAATCTTTCACTTTTATAAATTATTTAGTTTCCTATTTTGGGAATAAATATAATTTTTATTTTTCCAATTTTATTTGACTCATATTAATAACCATTTTTTTTTAAACTTTTAGGCTTTGTATAATCATAAGATTTTAAATCTTGATAGTCTTACATTTCTCGTGCAGTTATATTCTTTAAATGAATACTCACAACGCAACAGCAACAGAGCACGATGCAGAAGCCCTGAATAGCGCCGGCCGTACCGACTACCCATGTCAGACGGATAAAGAGGATCACACCAAAGATGTTCTGGATACACGGTAAGTAAACACCTATGAGGGTACCCATTCGTGCTCCGCCTCCCGCAGCCGGGGCCGGTTTATCCGGGTCGGTCGCGGCAGGGATGGTGTTGCTGTAGTTCGCCAAGCTGTTGAGCAATGTCGAGATCCGCGGCCGGTCCTCCATCTCCTCCTACAAGAATTTATTTCGATTTTTGTTTATCTCTCGACTGCACGTAATTACAGAATTCGGAAGTGAAATCGTTTTTTATCTGGAGTATTTCTCCTCTTGTAGTATTCTCGTGAATGCAATCAGGGTGTTTAAATGAAATCTTGCAAAAAAAAATTCCTTGAGAATTCCCGAATTTTCTAAATACTCTTGTTCAAAATTTCAGCTAAGATTAAACAATTTTTAATGCATTTTGAAATAAATTGGAGTACAAGTAACGCAAATAAAGTATTACATATATTAAATTAATAAAAAAGATTAGAATTCTATGAGACACACACACACTATAATGGGTGGTATTCATAGTTCGTTCTTACTTTAACACCGTCTTAAATAATGTCTTAAGTCTTAATATGCTAATACGACTCTCTGATTGCTTCATGATATCTTAAGACTGTATTTAAGACAGTCTTAAATATAAGAATCGACTCTATGAATACCGATCTATATCTATCGTTTTCTACAAATTGAAGTTGCGAAACCTATAATAGAATAGTATAGGAAAGACTTACTACAATATAATATCAGTGAGCTATTCTATTGAGTATTATCTTCTATTGTCATTCTGATTTTTTATAATAAAAACTCGCGAGTATACGTGAGAACGTACGTGAATATACGCGAATGTGTGTGCCATTTATTACTAACCTATTGTTAACATTTTTTATTATCAAGAAAAAAATGATCAAAGAAATGTTTTCAGAAAGAGAGTTTTCAGAACAAAATTTCAGAGTAAAATATCATAAATTTCCCCCCAAAAATGCCAACAAAATTCCATGAAAATTCTTGTGTGTGTGATTTTTAAAAAATCTCTAAAAAAATTTCAGATTTTCCGGTAGTAAATACTCTGGCGATGTTTCAATCAAGGAGAACTTTTCTAACGTAAAGACCCATAATGCGACTTTACGATTTATGTTCCGTTGGATTCAACAGCTCGAATATTTTACCAGAAATTTAAAGGCAAACTTGACTTTTACAAATTACAGCCGTCTGATCACGTATAGACTCTTGCTACTTCTGTACGATCACGTACGGACTTTGCTACTTTTATCCAGCTATAAATATATAAAGACATTTTTTCTATTTTCATTTAATCGCGTATAGACTTAGCTGTCGGACAAAATACGAAACAATTTCGAGATTAACGATTCGTCCGATCAGTCATCGACTCTTATCACTCGCGTGCTGCTACAGCATGAAGCGCGTTCCTCGCCCGTTGCCATCTTATAATTTCCCGTGTTTTCGATTCGTTATTATGCCAAAAGGACGTCGCAACTTCATTTGCAATTTTATTGACAAACTTTTGCGGGAAAGTGTCACGTAACTCTGTCCGCCGGGACGCTTTTATGGAAATTGTTAGTCTCTTGTCATGTAAGTTTCCGCTGCAACCTCGTTACGATGGTATTACACGTTGTCGATCTAATTTTGCGACGACTACTTTTCACATCAAGCATTCCGCTTGCATATCATACAGAAAACACAGATCTTTTTATATATATGGATAATAATAACGTAGTAAGAAAAACGTCGGAGAACGCGAGCTAAAAAGATTTCTTAATAAGATTTTCTTTAAGAAATTGCAACGAATTCCTGTCTTATCTCTAATCCACTGCTTTCACACGTATCTTTTTTATTTCTTTTATGACAATTCTTAGTTTTTTATCGTGTAAGTTTTCGCTGCAACTTCGTTACGACGGTATTACACGGTGCCATCCAATTTCGCGACGACTATGTTTTTGACATCGAGTATTCCGTTTGCACATTACACAAAAAACACTGATTTCTTTATATCAGATGTAATAATGTAAAACAAATGTTAAAGAACGCAAGCTAAGAAGATCCCAACATATGATAATTTTCTTTAAGAAATTGCAACAATTTTTCCATATATCTTTAATCCACTGCTTCCACGGATCTTTTTTTAAGAATCAGAACTGTATTTTAAGACCCATAAATAATCGGCACACAGTTTGCTTATATTAGAATTTGTAAGATTCGCATAAAATATTATTATAGGCTACAAGACCCGCTTTGGTCGAATATGGTATTCTTCATTTATTTACGTTAAAATCTCTTATATACACGAAGAAAATTTTATATTTAAAATTACTATAATGTGATAGTAGCTGCGGACATCGTGTAAATTATAAGTTTAAATGCTATAGTCATTTTTTTAAAAACAATAATGCAACGTAATTTTTACACTTTTTCGTAAAAATTTTTTATTACAAAATCACAACTTGTTGAATAAAAGTTAGTATTGTAAAGATAAGTAAAAAATATAGTATACCTAGCAAATTTTGTTTGCGTACCATAGTAAAAATTAACAGTTTTCATGTTAGAATATGGCTTAAGCACTAGTTTAACAAAATAATTACTTTATTTATGTGATAAAAATTAATATTACCATAGTAAAAGTTATGTCGGAATCATATTGACGGTCCATAGGAAATACTAGACGTAGTAAAGTGTAATTTAAAATTGTATTAAAACTTAATATAAAATTTTCTCCGTGTAGGTTCGTAGAATGAACAAACTAATTATTATTGAAATACAAATACAAAACACTTAAACTGTCCTCCGAAATTGTACTCGTCCTCTATTTTTTCCCTTTTTCTTGTCTGAAATTATTTCAATAAAATTTACAAGCGCGATAAAAGTATACTGCTATTACTCGTACACCTCAGGTTTATCTTCAATTGCGGTGTTCGATCGAGTCGAACGAGAAATACGAGAATGCCGAGAGGGTTAAAGTCGCCGTGGAGCGAATTATCGGAAGAACGGGGCACAATACTAGCCTCGCACGAGATTCATAGTTCGATAATGGCTCGCAATTTTAAACGGAATTGGGCAGATAAGGGAACTGAGCCGGACAGGAAACTCCGGCAGCTTTCTTACGGTAAGAGAAAGAAAGTAGTAGTCTTTCGTTAAAACTGCAAGGAGGAACGATGACAAGAGGGAGAGTAAAAGAGAAGAGACTTAGCTCCCGAGTACGCGGTTTAACTTCCGTTATGAAAGAATTTCGTTAAGAAAGCAATTCAGAAAAGGATTCTCAGTGGTCACATAATTCCGTTCTTAGAACTCCATGCGAGACATTATTGAGAAAATTGCAGTCGACAGCTAAAGCTTTCGTGAAAATATTTCGTAACTTTATGAAAGAAGATGAATAATTGAATTGAATGAGTCCAATAGAACCACCGTCAGCTCCGGAGAGTTAATTATGTAATATTTAATAAGTAGCAACGTATGGATCCTTGTGAAAACACATTATTAACATAGTATTTAAATTATAATTATTCATAAAACATAAGAATGAACGATAAATTAAAATTAAAAGAAAATATAGAAAATTGTGAAGAGATAAATAAAGAAAATAAAGTTCTTTGCGACGAATAATTTTTAAAGTAAAATACATAGTTCTGTTTGTAAACTGCGTTTTTTTTTAATTACATAGTATGATAATTATTATACTATGATGACTTTATTATTTGCATCGAAAAATAGATGATTCTTTCGAGGAAGATTCTAACAATTAAAAAGTAATTAATGAAGACGACGTGACGTAGACATTAAAACGTATACATTAAGTTAACGAATCGAGCTGTACGTTCTTTCTTTCGATAAAAAGTGAAAAATTTTTCTTTTTCTATCAAGATATGCATTAATTTTTCAGTAGATATAAATTAAATAGGCGCGATTGATTTTTCAGTAGAAATAAATTAAATTAAATTAAATTAATTTAAAAATTTCTCTCTCTCATAAAATAAGATCTGAATTGCCAGATTTTTCTTGTACTCACACTGTAGAGATACAGATTGGTCTCATATCCTGACTTCTTCTCGGAATTGGTGCTGACAATGGGATCGCCATCTCCGCCTGCGCCACCTCCATCGCCTGAAAGCATGAAAAGAACGAGTAATTAATTATTCTGTCTTTTGTTTTGAGTTTTAAAGTTCTGGAGGGAATGTATTAACTACCAGAAAAATACACATTGATGTATCCATTGTTAATGGTATATTAAGGATGTTCTCAAGAAAATTAGTGTTTCTTGCAAAAAATTGTATATATAGAATTTAATCACCAATTTAATAATTAAGTTTCATCTTCATAATTTGCTATATTTTCTTTTAACTTCAACTTCTCGTTTATTCTTACGTTTAGCGAATAACTGAAACATTGTGTTAATAAATGTATTCACAATGGTTCATACTGCTACTCGCGTTAAATATTATATAATTAACTCTCTGGAGCTGGCGATGGATCTATTAGACTTACTCAATTATAAATCTCTTTGTCAAACAATTTTCAATTTCCTTTGTGTTGCATCTGCAAATTTGGATTGTTCTTATCGAAATATACTTACAATTAGTATTAATTCCTATTATACATGCTATCTTGGTTTCTTGAAATTAATTAATATATGTTTTAATTCATTGCGTAAATTGAATAAGTCTTATACACTCAGCATCAATAACTGTGTTATAGATTTTGGTGTCAGCTCCAAAAGATTAATAAACATATTTGAGACAAAAATTTACACCGTAAGATATGTATATCATCGCGTGAAAATCTGCAGTGACAACTGAACCAATGAGAGCGACGTTTATGAGATACTTAAACTCTTTTAAGGTACTTTGAGAGAGTCATAATGTTTACAACTGCCTGTTAGATGACACTACGACTATTTTTATAATCGTTAAATATTAATTATCAAGTCATTATATGTTCGCGAAAATACATATATAGATTCAGTCGCAACATAAAATTTTGTTGCTTCCCGACAAACACAAAAGAGTCAAAACTGGAAACAGTGATAAGACTGAATAGGTATCTGAGTGTAAAAAAAAATCAAATAATAAAACATTTTATAAAAATTACTTCTTCATAATAATAATCAACGACCAAGAAAACTTTCAAAAATATACAATAAGTTGAGTGAAAATAATCATATTGATATAAAAAATTTGCTTTCCATATTGCATCTGCTATTTTGAATTTCTAACATTTGATTTTAATAATCAGCAATCCAAGAAACATGTAAATATTAAAAATTTGTCCAGTAGAAAACAATGTGCCCTGGAAGGATTAAAGAGTTTTCAATATTTAAAAAACAAATTGTATTTTCACGTATAAATTCGCTTACGTTACTCGGCCATATTTTATCTTTCTACATTTGCGCTTTCTCCCCACGTATTTCATACGCGAAAAGAAAGCCGGAGACTGGCGAAGATCTAACGACATTGAGATACCGTTAAAGAGCTAACTCCCAATGTAGCATTCCGCGATACAAATGGCAACGTTCCAACTGGCACGTACGATCGTTAATCGACCTGACAGAATTTTTATCAACGCGAATTCAGAGTCGGTCTCGTGAGGAGAGCTCAGGCCTCTTGGCCCATTCGTCTCTCTCAGCGAATCTCGACTCCCTCTTGGTATTCCATCAAGATGTTCATTCCAACAGAGAGATATTTCTTATCCAGCATCCAGCACGGAGAAACCGCAATACTCGAATACAGAATTTGCCGTGCTTGATTGATTAATTGTTCCTCGGAAGAATCAATTCTCTCTTTTAAAAAAACGCGCATCTATAAAGTATGCGGATTATAAGCTATAAAATCGAAAATATTAATTTTTCAAGTACAAATAAATTCAAGTAAGAGCAATACACTTTTTTAATGATATGTTGAATAATATACAGCCTTGACCATAAATATAAAGCACCCTCATAATTTATTTTGCATTTAATTTCTAAAAAACAATAATAAAAGCCAAAGAAAAACTAACAAAATATTAAAATTATAGTGAAAGTAATAATAGATATTAAAATTGTAATAAAAAATTATAATTAAAATATTAAAGTTGTAATAAAAATTGTAATTAAAATATTAAAATTGTAATTAAAATATTAAAACTGTAATGAAAGTAAATAAATATTCTTATTTTTCAATAAAATTACTTTTAATTTATTTTTCATTAGGACATTTACGTCAATTTATGAGGATATATATGCATTCCAAGGAACAAATTAGCAAAATATGAAATATTGAAAAACTATATTTAGCTGGATATCGAATATCAAATTAGTGAAATAATATTTCCCTAATAAAGATACATGGATAAATATTATTGCCTCGTAAATTTATTTCACATATTTCAGGAAAATTGAGGTAACTGTTAAAATCACAATATTTAACTATAGAAATAAATAACTAGAAGTATCATATGTTCCTTATTCACTAAAAGGACCAAAGAAATAAATTACTATGAAAATGAAGAAAGTGATAAAAAGTCAAATATTTTTTCAACAAAAAAGATAAATATTGGAAAATAAAAAAAGTTCAGACTCCTATATTTTATATAAAAAATATAATATTAATTTAAAAAATAAAAACAGTCAATAATGACCATTTAATACTTCTAGTGTTAACTAAGCAATTTTTCTAATGTGGAAATTTGGACAGAATGATTGTAAAGATGAAACTAAGAGAGTGCGCGAGAAGGAAGAATGGGACAATAGCGAAGCGGATTATGCAATTCTTACATCGCGTCGACGAGGAGGCGAGCATCTCCTTACTTAGTAGTCATGAGAGAAGGTTCCTCTTATCCCTGTCTACTTGAAACGCTCTAGCGTGACATATCAGAGCCACAAATTTCGCTCTTAATCTACTTGTGAAACGGAATAACGCCGCCAGTAAAACGTTACGCGATGGACATTACGCGAGGAACATAAACAAGACAATAGCTCTTGGCCGATGTATTCATAGTCGTACTTATAGTCGGCAATTTCCCCGGATCGTTCCGCGAATTAAATGCTAAATTTGTGAGATATGACGTTCGACATTTTTATATAATTATACCGTATGACGTCGGAAATATATATATATATATATAAATATATTTATAGCGCAGATACCTGCTTAATGGCTGGAAAATTGAGTTATCCTTAGCTGACTGTAATCTTACCTATATATCGAAAACGCATCATCTTGCTTTGTACGAGCAAGAAAATTGAAACCTTCAGTTAGATGTTAGATAAAGCGATACTAATTTTCGCTAATAAAGTTGCATAAAATTGATGACCTTCAATCATATATTTTATTACAACAAGTTTATTATAACATAGATTATAAAAAATCTAACTTGTCATCATTAACTTCCCGTGTATCTATTGGACCCACTCAATTATATCTTTTATAATATGTTAAATCTACTTTGCATTATTGTTATTAAAATAAATTTAATATTTACACACATTCTTTTTTATACAATAGTTATATCATTTTGGTTCCTTGAGATTAATTAATTTTGTTTAGTCAACATGTTAAATATCAAAGGTGCAATAATAACAATCCCTTGAGTTAACCTTTCGACTCTCAAGCGAGGCAAACCGTTTCACTTTAAAAATGATATTTTTAGAATAATTCTGTTATAAGATTTTAATAATTTTTGTTTAAAACAAATAAATGCATAATATATATAATTTCAAAAAAGATATGTTTTATTTACTTACGGCGAATTATTCGTTCCTCTCTCTTGGGAATATTATTTTATAATTACTTTCAAGAGATAATTTTCATTTACAACTAGAAAAATTAATATAAATTTTTAATTACATTTATGTTATTTACAGAATTGTGCAATAACAAGAATCTAGTTCAAAGGACAAGAGCTATAGATAATAATTGTTTCATTATTATAATTATAATTATAATTATAATTATAATTATAATTATAATTATATTATAATTATAATTTCAAAGTTATTCAACATATAGCGATATAAATAAAAAATAAATGATATTGTATCATATTTTTTACGCGTGTACTTACTATATTTTAATATAAGTTTTAATGTCATAAACATGCTGTTACACAGAAAAGTTTTTTAGAGTCAACCGCTCGCACCACTTGGAAACTTATGCTGAGAAATTAGCATTTAGTCGAAAGGTTAAATAATATTTTGTTATTTTTAACTTCCATATGTATCCAAATGTAAACACATCCTTCTGCAGTTTCAAAGTAAACAACATCCATATTAATATACGCACTTAATAAGTGCAAACTGACTGTTCACATTTTAGCGTAAACTAAATTTGTGTTAAATTTAATACAGTTTCTTGAGTTCAATTGTTTAACTCCACTGTTTTAATTAAATTAACGACATATGAGTAGGTACAGCGGTGACCTATAGAAATATTAAAAATAACTCGAATTGGGTATAATCCGATTTTTTTTTTACTTTGGCACCTCTGAAGAAAACACCCGTGAAAGCCTCAAAAGTATCATAATCTGACATTATGAATTTAACAGAGTAAATTAAATGGATTTCACAGAGCCATTTAATTTACTCTGTTAAATTTATATGTCCCAGCGTATCAGTAACTGTGTTACAGATTTTAACGTCAGTTTCAGAGGGTTAAGCGGATATTATAGTAGAACTTGATCAAAAGGAGATGATTGAATACTATTTATTAACGTCCATTAACATGAATATTCATCTTTTGACGTTTAGCAATAGCTTTATCGGGGAATAAATTTTACTATTAGGAAAGCATTGTTCCATCCACGGTCTGAATCATCGCATCTTATCCCGCGCGATTTTTGCTGGTTTTATCGACGGTGTAACGTAACGGAAAAATGTAGAAATGGCAGAGAGACGAGCAGAGTAGAACTATGCGAAGTAGGTCGATGGTTTCGCGTGCAATGCCAAGGCTTCCCTGTGTATATGTCAAGAGAAATAAATATAGTCGAAGATAGCAAAGAGAACGAGAGAAAGAGAGAGAAGCGCAGAGAAGTCAAATAATATAATACAGGCGGCTGACGCATCCGAAGGGAAAAGCCAAGAGCCGTGTGTCTCGATTATTGTGGGATGCTTCTTGGCTGATGTCTGTTAA